GTTTCTAATACAATTTTAATTGTATGCTATGAAAAATGAAGGTCATTCTGAAGGCAAAAAAAAAAAGGAGTCCACACGGTATTAGCATGGTGTACTTCATAAAGTGATCAGCAAGTGTATATTTCATAATTATGAAAAAAATAAAATAAAATAAAAATCACAATATCAGGGCTTTATCACAAGTGTAAAGCCCCAATACTTGGTGGTGGTGGGGGGGATAAAGACAATACTGAAATAGAATGAAATCCAGTATTTGGGGCTACAAGAAATAACTTCTTATTGAATGAAAAACAAAAACAATTCCACATTTTTTAGTCCCAGAACAATTAATTTAGAGGGGGGGAGAGAGAGAGAGAGAGAGAGAGAGAGAGAGAGAGAGAGAAAGGTCTGTTTTTATAAACCTCTCTTGATCTAGAAATTTTGTAAGTTTTAAACAAAATCCTGCTGAGGGGGTAAAATAACAGACTGTATATAAAAGATGAATGTATGGAACATAAGTGAAAAGTGCCTTAAACCTGCAGTTCTTCATATTGCCAGCAGAGGGAAACTCTTTGGCTACAAAAAGAACCCTGCAGGTTAATTAATATTAAAAGTCTTATTCCGAAATTTAAACTTTAGACAAAATTAAATACTAATTTTATTAAACTGTTGTTTTGCACGTTGCAAATTACGGCCCACGTCTGAGTTAAAAATGATGATAAAGCTAATGTGGGGCCCATCTTGTCCTGAATGTGTATTTTTCTTGGCCAAATTAGCCCCACTATCAAGCACCATGATGGCCAAGATGTAAATATTTAATTTGAGCCTTTACAACATAACTTTACTAACCAATAAGCGATGGTACCGAGGATAAAGCCATCTTTTATATACAGTTTATTACATGCTTATAAAACTAACCGTGGTTTGCACTATAGAGAACTCCATACTGCAGTGATCCTACTTCTATTTAGACGATGTGGGTGCACAATGTGAACATTATTGGCTGTGTCCTTGTGTGCGATCAAACATTCCCGATCCACCATCACCCAGTGACTTCAGCTATAACAGAAAGGAAAAGCAATCGTGCGTGTGTGGCGTCACCAATTCGAACAACGAATTTAACGGTGGGAATTAATGAACAATGCAAGTAAGTAAGTAGGTGCAAGTGAGTCAAATTTAATATTAACGCTGTCCACTGAAAGAGGCAGGGCGTTTGGTTTTCTTTCCCCCACCAGCATCACCACCACCACCCACTCAAACACAAACTATGTCACACATAGAAATGTCAGTAAGCATGTATGTCCCCCCCCCTCACAGAATTTATGTGTAATCTGTGCAAAATAAAATACTTCAATACTTCAACTGAAAGGATCAAAAAAAAAAAAAAAAAAAGCAACCAAAAAACAGATAAAACGGGGCAGAACAAAGGGTATCGCCTCCGCGTGCCAACTCTTCTAAACAAATAAATAAATTCAACATCAAATGGGGCTTTGCAGAGGGGATCAGCAATCAGGAAAACAAGTGCTCTGTAAACCTTAAACATACACACACACACACACAAAAAGGATTATCATCCTCTCAGTTTGAAGCAAAAATTTCTGTCAGGCAATTCTGTATAAATGAACTTTGCCATCTAGTGCAGCTTCAGGATTTCCTTAAATACAGTATATTTTTCCTATATGAGCTATTACTTCTCTCACGGTGAGATAATTACCTTGACAGGAAGCGTCAAGATAACCGGTAAGGACTATAGGGAGACAAACCAAGTGGACTTGCGTTCATGGGAGCAGTAATCGGGATTCTGTTTGATGGTGCTGGTATCTTCTCTACCACAGAGCTCACAGAACACATGCATTATTACAAGTTAAAGATTTACATTTTTGGAGAAAGGAGGGAGGGGGAGGGGAAATGTAGATAGCAAGGTAGTCTCTCCCAGACCCTATAATGTCCATTCCACAGATTTAAGAGCTCTTTTCTCCCTTCTCTACTTCCCCCTCACTCACTCGTCTTCATCGTCCTCTTCCTCGCCGTCGGAGAGAGAGGCACAGGGGTGGATCTGGCGGTATCTGTCCAACCACTTCTCCACCATCTGGGTGACCAAGGGGTGGTTACGGCGGCGAGAGCTCTTCTGCATGGCAGCCAGCATGCCTCCTTCTGTCACGCAGCAGTCCAGCCATTCCCTCAGCAGCTTTTCCTGCTGCTCCTCGTTGCCCATCTGAAGTCACGCACAAAACATGCTATTAGTAATGTTCAGATACAAACTTTCACCTCACAATAGCACATGTTAAAAGCTTTCCTGCATCAAGACTCATTTGCAAAAAACAAAGCTAAAACTGGTCTACAGCCAAAATCACTGAAACTAATGCTAAAGATTGTTAGTTGTTTCTCTGTTTCACTGCTACCAAAACTGGAATTTTTATTACAAAGGCCCCTCCATCCAAACTGTAGATTCAGTTTTGATGAAATGCAACAAGTATTAAATACAATTGGTAGATTTTTCATATTTTAAGATTAGATGCAGTTTTAAGTACTGTGACTCAGAAACGGCACAAGTGAAAGGCTTATAACATCTGGTAGTGCGCTACATTATTACATGGCCACATGGTGAAACCAGCTTGTCTACAAGTCAAAATACACTGGGTAATGGATCCAACTGCTGTTTCTTCACATCCCAACATCCCACCTACACATAATATTTTAACCTAGCCTGGCAAGCTGGGCTTTAAATACAGTCAGCACAGTTCTTTTTGGAAATTGAGCTGCAATAACCCTGCTAGACTTTCTAATATTCTTCATTAGCCGCTGCAGTGGATCAGCCGCCTCCATAATAACACTATCCCTAGCATCCTCGTCTTTCATGCCACCCCTCTTTTTTATCCTCCTTCACTACATCCATGAATCCTCCTTCCCAGTAGCTCAAATCAAACACCATCCCTCCTCTGCACATCTCCAAACCACTAGACCTAAGCTGTCCCCGTGATGTACTAAATCTTAATCTTGTCCATCCTGGTCACTCCCAAGAAAATAAAAATTAGGACCTTTGTATCCTCTGCCACCTCCAGCTCCGCCTCCTCTGCAATTTATGCATTTATTTTTGGATTTAATACATTAAAATCACATTTACATTTCCAAAGCAGGCAACTAGGAAAAAATATTGAGCAGAGGTATTTCCAATAACAGCTTAGATTAATAAAGAGAGCCACTAAACTGTTCATTTGAGCAGTAAAGTTTCAAAAATATTTACAGTAATACCAAAATACACTTCTCAAAATTACCCAATTACCTGCTTTTTAAAGTTAAATTAAAAAAACATTTTTTAAAAATTAACAAATCTGCAGTTTTACAGCACAACCACAGTTCCTACCTCTTGTGCAGACAGGAAGTGAATATGCAGCAGCTTCCTTTCGCTGTCCACCAATGGCAGGAAAGTGACCGTGACATCGTCGTCAGTATTGAGGTTGGCGCCCGCACCGCGATTGTCGTAGCCGTCGTTCTCCATAGCTACCAGGGCCGAGAAGTGACCCCGTGTGTAGCCCAGGGCAATGGGGCTCTTCCAGCAGAAGCTCTGCTCCCATAACAGAGGCAGGTACACACCTGAAGACACACAAACTAGTCAAAAGGTGCTGCGCGCCACAGCACTCGAGGCATCAGCCAGGAACAGGCTCGGCGACTGTTCGCTCAAATTGTGTGCAAATGTCAGCCGGGGCCGAGCGCGCTCTCAGATTTGACCGGACGCTAGAGGCGGCTGCTTTTTAGCCCGCTGAAAACAACCGGTTCTTTGTGAGCAGAGACGAGCTCCGCGGTGCAGCCCGATGCTCTGCTTGTTCAGAAGTGCACCCGCCCTCACCCCTCTGGCTTCTGACAGGCCAACTTCCAGCTCCAAAAGCACACCAGCAATCACTAAACACTTAGCGTGCAATGTACACAAAAGCTATGGTTGCAGTCTACACACACAATTACCGTAATTAAGGCAGGCCATCATAACCAGGCTGCACCCTAAACGGAACAAATACGCAGCGAGGCATCAGAGACCATTTTATTTATTCAAATTATCAGTGCAACACACCGAATGAGGTCAAGATATTCTGGCAGCCATGCACTCCAGCTGTGCTCACTCTGCATCTCATACACAATAGCCTGTCTGTATGAGTAATTCTAATGGCCTTGTTTCATGTGGTGTTGCTGCAGGTGTTTAAAGCTGCCTCACGCCATGATAAAGTAGTGTTAGAAATAAACAGCGAAGCTCACCGGGGTCAGTTTATCACAAATTCCACTCAATTTTAAAAAGTTCTTTCTGCTTAAATTACAACTGTGGTCATTTGACCTTTTCAGCAAGCAGATAGCGCTTAACATAAGTGACTACTACACCCTCTACAGTGCACACACGAGTGTCCAAAGCTTCACCTTTGATAGTCACATCAATATTAAGAAACATACCTATCAGCAAGTGTCAGTACTCTGTTTGTTTCCATTTTTTTTTTTCCAAGATCTGACACCCTTTACAAGTTCAGGATCTGAGTTGAGAACACAGTTTAGTATTACAGCCACACGATGCCTCACCTTGAAAACGAGTGTATCCTAACGTTTCCCCACGGAAACTTTTGTAGTATTTCACTCCGTAGACTATGATGGGTCTTCGAAGAATATGTGCAAGAACAAAAATGTGGGTCTGCTCAAGGCTGGCCCCGGGCTAAAAAGAGGAGAAAAAGAAAAAAGCATAAGAATAGTTAGGCATTGTGATCATACTGCAAAGAGAAAAGTATCTTATGCACGAGTACGAACGCTTTTCTTTCCTTCTCATTGGGCACATTACATAAGCACTTTTAAATATTCTACAGCTGCAATGATCTATCGCATAAAAAGGGGTTTCAAAGTTTCAGCCTTGTGGGATGGGATTTAAAAAGCTTGGTTTTTATCCTTCGGCTCTCATCTCTCCGTTGCTGTCAAAGCCTGAGACGAGGTCATCGCTTGCTAGCTTTTGCTGTGTTTGTTTGTGCTGCTGGTAGAGTGGCTCTAAGCGAAATGCCTGTAAATCCCAAGGTCACATGCTGGGGAGAGAGAGTGCTGCTTCAGCAGGCGTGCCGGTAGATCAGCTGTCTACAACTTCATCTTAGGGGATCAGCAGTAAATTGCTTATGTCCTATCTGTCATTCACACATGATCCACCATGCACAGTGCGACCCTTCCGACTGTCTTTTCCCATTTAGGCTAATGCACATATATGACAATAGTTCATAGTTTCAGTAGCCCATGCTTTATGCAGACCTTTATTTCCTCAAATAGAGTTGTTTAAAAAAACAAAAACAGTGGTCGAGGTCACTGCGGCAACAGAATCTGACAAAACAGCAAATCAATACCTACACTAAAATATGTTTTGGACTTCTGGTGGTGTCGTGAAGTTGGCAAGCACAATTAATCTACTTGCAACTGCGGTGTCAGCCTGTTGAATTATATAACCGCACGCCCGTACTGACGAGATAACCTATCGGCCTGTTTGAGGCGGCGGATTGAGCGTTGCGCACGTAACACGACTACCCGGTGTTCGAGACCAGATGGAAGAGGCTCCATGAACAGACTGATTCTGTTCATGTCAAGATATTAAGCAGATCAGCTTCTAGCTTTGAAAAGACTGTTTCAAATGATTTCAATGTAAAAGGGCTTATTTAACTGATATTTGTTCAACTGTATTAATTGTGCATATTGAGTTTCTTTGAGGATAGCTGTTTGTAAATGACAGTTTTTGAGTTGAGTGAGCAAAATATAAATGCATCCAACTATCTTATGAGTTGCCTTTCCTTGACCAAATACAGGCGATACATTGCAATTTGATGTTTTCCACAACTATTGCAATATGACTCACATGTCTGTTCTGCTATGTATATACTACATCTGCTATGTAGTAGCTATGTAGTAGCCTCAATATGACTGGAGTGTTGCAAGAGTCTAATGAATATGCAAACAATGCAAGAGAGGAAAGTGACTATTGTTATGTAAATATTTTGGAGACAGACGTTTTAGGTCATAAACCTTCCAGCTTTTATTTCTTTTGTAGACCAAAAAATAAAAAAAATTAAAAATGCACCACTGTCTTTAAACTCAATGGAAGTGAAGGTAGGCTGTAAAGCAGAGACAACAACATAATTACCTGGCTGGCCAAAGACAGAATGAAGGCCCAGTCTTCCTGCCACTGCTCCTCTCTGAGGGAGAAATGTAAACCAAAGCTCTGCGAGTACCATGACTCCCACTCCTTCCAGCGTGTGAAAAACCTATTT